ATGAAAAGGGGATTCCCCAAAGCGTCGTGGCAGCAAGCAGCAAACATCGCTTTTTTCACGATTAAAAATAATCCCTGCCGTCGCGCTGCTGCTACCCAGCAGGTTGATTATCTTAAAAAACAACTAGTCGCGATTTTTTTCTGTGCACGCGCTGCGCTGCACCACTGACGCGCTGGTGTCGCGTGGGGAGGGCTTAAGGATTGTTTAAACAGATGTATATCCAGACTTTCCCGCTATCAAAGATGACAGACTCCATCAGCTTGTGTTAAACCTAGAGACCGAAAGCATCAACTCTGACGCTGGGGACTAGTTATTTAGTATTCTTCATATAAGGGGTGGGGCGGGCTTGGTGGGTGTTAGGGAGGGACCGATGAGCTTAGGGGTTTGTTTTTTTTTTGTTGTTTTTTTTTTGGGGGGGGGGGTGTCGCTTCACATACTTTAAGGAGGGGGTGGAGGGCTTGAAAAATGACAGTTTTGCTTCTTCAAATACATTTTTTTTAGGGCTTGTCATTTATTATAGGGAGGGGGGGGGGGGGGGGGGGGGGGGGGGTGGGGGCCTCTTGACCTTAAAACGAGTGCTTGTGAAAGGTTCTAAGCCTTACAAACAAAGCGAAGAATTGTAAAAGTATTTTTAATTTTATTTTTCAACATAATCTACCTGCTTTTCAATACACTTCCCATATCGATATTGAAGCTTTTCAATTCCAGTCAGGTACAAACTTTTCTGGAGCCACCCTGAAAAACCAATTCACGGCAGCTTTGAGGTCATCATTGTCACCATAGCGCTTCCACGAAGGCGTTCTTTCAGTCTAGGAAACATGTGGAAATCACTGGGAGCCAGGTCTGGCGAGTATGGAGGGTGAGGAAGCTCTTTGAACCCTCATTGTCGCACAGCAGCCTTTGCAAGTCGAGAGGTGTGAGAAAAGTCATTGTCATGAAGTAGTTGAACCCCAGCAATAAGCATTCCTCGCCGCTTTTCTTTGATACAATCTCTCAGGCGATGAAGCAAATCAGCATAGTAGGCACCAGTAATCGTCTTTTGACTTTCTAAGTAATCAACAAGGATCACACCCTTTGCATATCCCGGAATGCAGTGGCCACAACTTTCTTCACTGATCTTGAAGACTTGAATTTCTTTGCGGCCGGTGAAGTGGAATGGTGCAATTCCATGGATTGACGTTTTGACTCGGGATCATTGTGGCAGACCCATGTTTCATCACCCGTAACTGATCTTTTTATGAATTGGACCAAACCCTCCTCAATTAGCTCTAAATTGTCTCTGGTAATGTCAGTTCTTTTTTCCTTAAGATCAGAATTTAGAAACTTTGGCACCCAACGAGCAGATATCTTATTTATCTGTAAATGTTTACAAATAATAGTTTCAATGAATCCATGGCTTAGACATGTGTCTTCCTCAAGTTCAGCAATGGTAATACGTCCATCTGACAGAAGAAGGTTTTTTTTCTATCTCCATGATTTAATCTTCATTCATGGAAGCTGAGGGACGTCCAGACCAAGGGTCATCATCAAGGCTTGTTCTCCCAGACTTAAACATAGCTCCTCAAGGTTTAACAGTGGAATAGCAAGGGCACTTGTCCCCATACATTTGTGACATGCCGTCGTGAAGTTTTGGGGGAGTACTTTTCTCTGAAGTCAAAAACTTGATGACTGCTCGGTACTCGTTCTTTTCCATTTCTGTGTCCATTTGGACCCCTGTCACGTTCAACTGGCTGTCACTAATATACAAACGGCCTCAAAAGACCGAATACAATTGCAATGAACAACTAAAATAATGTACTTTATTGACAAGTTCACTTTGTTATGACCCATAGTTAAATGTTAGTCAGGCTTAGAACTTTTTGACCAGCCCTCGTATCAGCCGTGTCCCCGAGAAGACAACAAACTCACCGGGGAAAACTGTCGGCTTAATGTGAGGAAAGCCCAAAGTGACGAATGGGTATCCATTCAAGTGGTAATGTCTACGAACGAGTGAATGATACTAACATACTAAGGGCCATCATCCAGGCGAGTATAGCATCATTCTACCTCACAGCATTCTGGACACCGTACCTTGACATGTTTTGCTCGTGTTAAATGATCGAAGGTGTGATTGCAGGGGTTTCAACCTACTTAATATCTGCATATAAGTTGAGGTAAGGTGAATTGGGGTTTGACGTTGCGTTCACGATTTTTGCACGTGTGTGTGTGTGTGTGTTTGTGTGTTTGTGTGTGTGTGTTTGTGTGTTTGTGTGTGTGTGTTTGTGTGTGTGTGTGTGTGTGTGTGTGTGTGTGTGTGTGTGTGTGTGTGTGTGTGTGTGTGTGTGTGGCTGCTTGTATCAGACCGACTAATGCCGATTTCATAGTGCCAGCCCACTTCTAGACAGCATGCCGCAGTTTAACATGAATACCCCACTCAGACACAGTATACTGATTCCAAGCCAACCAGTCCTCGTTTTAGCCCCTTAATGCCTAGCGCCAGGCAGGGTAACAACAAGTACCACCTTCTAACGTCTTTTGGTATAACGCGGCCGGGCATCGAACCTACGACCTTCCGCTCTCCGGGCAGACGCTCTATTCATGTTTGGGTTTATGTGTGGAAATGTATGACTAAAGACACATTGAAATGAAGTTCTCTCATGGACTAGTATCACTGTGCCAATATGTTGATTATTTGTTTGTTGATGTTGTTTACGCCGCACTCGGCAGTATTCAAGCTATATGACGGCGGTCTGTGAACAATCGAGTGATTGACATCATGAGTATCGATCCACGCAATTGGGATACGATGACATGCATCAACCAGGTCAGCGAGCCTGACCATTCGATCCCTTTCGTCGCCTCTTACGACAAGGATGGGTTGCTGAAAACCAATTCTAACACGGATCTTCACGGGTTTAGGCCATACTGCGCAATATGACAGTTACGTCAGAGCACAAATTGAATGACAGAGTGACATTTCTCCCAATTTAGGACTATAAAAGAATATTTTATTCCAGAAAAATACCAGAATAATATTTTCCGCTTTAGGATGTCCCAAAAATAATTACATTGATCGCTTGACATTGCAGACGTCCTGAAAAGAATGTGTGAAATTCGTTTGTTCAACTCCTTCAATAATATGCCAAATGATGTGGAGTTAAGTAACGTCTGTCGCGGAGAGGAGTTGGATGGGGACCGCGTTTGGCAGCTTGACTCCTATGAGTTTCTTGGTCGACGGTCCTGCCCGAATCTGAAGCACATGCAGAACATGTAGCTCATGTATTGTCTCCCAAGGCAATGACTTTGTTCGAATTGCGCCTCTGTTCACCCAGCAGTAGAACTGTGTACCCGGAAGATGGCATTGGGATTGTTAACCTTCCAGCACATCGCAGCCAGCTTGGGTTGTATTCTCCCCAGGGAGCTGAGAATGAAAGTCGAGTACAGACTGATCCACTGACCAGGGTAATGACGCAGCGCTTTGATCAGACTTTATGGTGTGGATCTGGCGCATTATGAATACGCACATTATTAATGTTGTTGTTGTTGTTGTTGTTGCAAAGAATTTCCTGGCACAGTCATCATCATCATCAGCTAAGGGTCCTGTACCCCTCTCCACGCACCCCAGACAGCGAATTGGATTTCTCCCAGGAAGAGTTGCCTCGTCAAACCCACCAAGAACCCTTCGGAGAATATGGAGACTCCCCAACACTGCAGACTTCTGCATTGCCCAGGGGCCATGGGTGGCCCAGTCGTCTAAGGCGCCGCGATTCGCTGTGCAGAGTTGCGTCCCTTGGGCACGCCAGAAACCTATGGTTGTGGGTTCGAATCCCGGTCAGCCCCGATTATGTTTCTAGGTTTGTCAGCACCATACCTGTGCCCGTGGTAAGTGGTAAACGTCTGAGACCTGCATCACTTCGGGCTTTCCTCCCATATTAAGTTGACACACCGCGATATAACTGTAATACTGTTCAAAGCGGCGTTAACCCCAACTCACTCACTCAATCTGCATTACCCAGATTGTCAGAAGGGTTGTGTTCCCGTCAGGAAACCCGGGCACTCTCCCAATGTCAGTCAACAGATTGGGGGGTACCAAACCCGAGGCACCGAGAACAATGGGGAGTCGGACAACTTGGTACTTGGGATGAAGCGTGACATTTAGAAAGCGAAGTCCGCATCTTTGCCATGTCTTTCCTGAATCTTGTCAATCACATTAGTGTCAAAAGGGACAGAAAATTCAATGCTACAAATGATTTCATTGGATTTATCGAAAAGGACAGGATCAGTTTTGTTGGCCTGGATAGGTCATTTTCCATGACGCCCTGCACATATTCCGGGTCGTACCATGGATAGACCTCTGTGTCCAAACCACAAGCCCAAACTGGGCATACTCTGACATTGCGTTCGACAGTCTCATTAAAATTCATTGCATAATGTACATATCATATCTAAATTTTGATGCAAAATCACACATTGACGATTTCGAGTGGGAAGCGACTGGTCCTGAGCAGCAGACAGAAAGCCTTCTGTTTCACTTTTCAGGACAGCCGACTTATTCCAAGCGAGGGTCTCTGCGGTGATGCTTTACTTCTCAACACACTGCACATAAACTCGATGCAGTGGTCGTTCACATAGCCTCTCTGTGACCAAGAAAATAGTGTCAAAAGGTTGGTTTGTTTGTTTGTTGTTTAACGCCGCACTCAGCAATATTCCAGCTATATGACGGCGGTCTGTAAATAATCGAGTCTGGAGCAGACATTCCAGTGATTGATATCATGAGCATCGATCCACGCAACTAGGATCGATGACATGCATCAACCAAGTCAGCGAGCCTGACCACCCGATCCCGTTAGTCGCCTTTTACGACAAGCACAGTCGCCTTTTACGGCAAGCACAGTCGCCTTTTAGCGTCAAAAGGGACAGATTGTTATTACTATTATTATTCTGTTGTAATTGACCAAGAAAATAGTACATCAAGGTAATATTACGTGGTCAGTGCCTCTTAGGGATGGAAAACAAGACTATTTTGTCAATTTAGATTTATAATCAAACAATATTCACTTATGGATACTTATGTACACTTATGAATCGCGCATTGTTCCCATCCCTGCTCATAGGCTAGGTAGCACCACAGATAACCGGATGGCAGAATGCTGCCTCCAGAAGGGTCACGGCAGTAGTTAGCGGCGCCAGCGTAGCCGAGGTTTGGTGCACCGTTGGTGATGTCGAAGTAGTCGCGGAAGAAGGCGTGATTGTTCGGGGTCATGACGGACCAGGACTGACATGTTTTTCCGCTACCGGTTACAGATGTTGTACCACTGTAGACTGCTGTTCCCCCTTGCTTGGTGTAACAGTCAGCTGTGAAGAAAATAGCAATATCAACAATAAACACATATACACAAATAATGCTCATGCTTTTTTGACGCGGTTGTCTCATCGAACGAAAGAGGGCGATTGAATTCGGTTCAACGGTTGAACAACTTATAATTAGCTATATCACTTTGCACTTTGTCAGAAGCAATATAAAACCCACGATTAATTTGCATATCTTAATTTCTTTACTCGTTTGTCTAATCGCACGAAAGAGAGTGGTACAGTTTGGTGTAACGTTTGAAATTTGTGTCAGGAACAACACTTGATTTTCTGCTGTTCTCCCTTGCTTGGTGTTACAGTCAACTTTAAAGAAATTGTCAGTATCAGAAATATGATATATACAGATTCATACTTTCTTGATGCGGTGTGTCATTCATTGAAGGTAAAACACACAAGTACATTGTTGGCAAACGACAATCATAGGATCCTAGCGCCCCCAAGGGACGCAACTCTACACACTTTTTGACTTCATAGTCCACACTCTCTCTCTCTCTCTCTCTCTCTCTCTCTCTCTCTCTCTCTCTCTCTCTCTCTCTCTCTCTCTCCAACAATGGAAAACAGATATTCCTTTTGACTATATATTAGTCCACAAAATTAAGAGAATCACTCACTATTGCATGCTGCCAGTGTTGAAAGAACTGTTAAGATGGCGAGGAGCAGGAGACGAGCCATGTTGCTGGCTGTACAGTTGAGACCGACTGGTCCTTACAACGGCGTAGGTACAACCCACGTCGTGACGGGCAGTCAAATGTTGACGTAGGTGACGACATTGCAATTTAAGTGAAATCCCCATCAACCTTTCTGCCACGCGTGACAGATGTGAGGCCAACGTAATTGTCAAATACTTATAAAAAAATGTCTTTGTCCAAGTAAATAGGTCTCGCATGTAATCCATTGAGTGTATACTCCATGCGTCCATCAAGATATTGCACCAGCTGTAGGGAGTGGCTGTAACGAGATGCTTGAATGTTTGCAATGAAATTTCGTACGACCCCCATAGATAACCGAAGAATGATTGTCATTGTTGTGAACACATTATACAGTGACATCAACTCCTTGACGGATTTCGTGAATATTAATACTTTTCACTGAACAGAGAACAGTTAACATCACTGGACATTATTGCTACTTTGATAATTGAAACACATTATCCTGTACATAAAAGTGTCAACTGGTGATATTGTTCACATTCCGTCATGAAGTCGGATCATAAGATCTAGCTATCAGGTAAACGTTGTGTGTAAACCTCTGTTTCGAGATTAAACGGTCGACAGTTACACATTGCCACTTGAATAACACATTTCTAAACCTGACAGCAAAATCTCCCGACAAGAAAGAGATGAATAAGAATCGGAATGCATAGCTCACATGGCAAAAGTAAAAAATCAACACTCTGCTTCATTGATGCCGCATCCTGTAACCACGCAACATGGCATGTTTTTAATGATCTGAGGTGAAGACATATATACCAGGAACTATATGGCTCATGGCATAGATAATCACCTAACTGTTGCCTTTATTAAAATGATTTGGACCAACAGTTGGTGACAGCAAAACAAAAAGAGCATTGATTCCATGGATTGCTTCACATTTTAATGCACAGTCAGTGTGGTTTGGCACATTGAGTATCATAGATATTAAGTGAGTGAGTGAGTATGGTTTTACGCCGCTTTTAGCAATATTCCAGCAATATCACGGCGGGGGACACCAGAAATGGGCTTCACGCATTGTACCCATGTCAGGAATCGAACCCGGGTCTTCGGCGTGACGAGCGAACGCTTTAACCACTAGGCTACCCGACCGCCCCCTCTCTTCCTCAGTTAACATACTGGCCTTATATACAGTTTTATTTGATGTGACACTTATATTAAGTTCTTTGATTAAACAATTAATCACTCCCTCATTTACACATGGCTTTGCTCATACTGATGTGAGCTCGTCGGTACTCTGACACAGAGTGTTTGTTCGAAGGGAATCCACCCTAATCACTCCCTCATTTACACATGGCTTTGCTCATACTGATGTGAGCTCGTCGGTACTCTGACACAGAGTGTTTGTTCGAAGGGAATCCACCCTAATCACTCCCTCATTTACACATGGCTTTGCTTATACTGATGTGAGCTCGTCGGTACTCTGACACAGAGTGTTTGTTCGAAGGGAATCCACCCTAATCACTCCCTCATTTACACATGGCTTTGCTCATACTGATGTGAGCTCGTCGGTACTCTGACACAGAGTGTTTGTTCGAAGGGAATCCACCCTAATCACTCCCTCATTTACACATGGCTTTGCTTATACTGATGTGAGCTCGTCGGTACTCTGACACAGAGTGTTTGTTCGAAGGGAATCCACCCTAATCACTCCCTCATTTACACATGGCTTTGCTCATACTGATGTGAGCTCGTCGGTACTCTGACACAGAGTGTTTGTTCGAAGGGAATCCACCCTAATCACTCCCTCATTTACACATGGCTTTGCTCATACTGATGTGAGCTCGTCGGTACTCTGACACAGAGTGTTTGTTCGAAGGGAATCCACCCTAATCACTCCCTCATTTACACATGGCTTTGCTCATACTGATGTGAGCTCGTCGGTACTCTGACACAGAGTGTTTGTTCGAAGGGAATCCACCCTAATCACTCCTTCATTTACACATTGCTTTGCTCATACTGATGTGAGCTCGTCGGTACTCTGACCCAGAGTGTTTGTTCGAAGGGAATCCACCCTTCCTTTTCGCCGTGACAGATTGATGCTGGAGAAACTCAAACAATAACGTAGACTAGAAAAAATAATTTGGCTCAGGCTCAAATCGAAAACATTTCGTATGTCCTAAAAATGTTACTGTTCGGCTCTACCCCGCCCCGAATACAACAACAAATAAACAAAACAAACATAAAACAAAAAGAAAACACAAATTAACACCAAATATGATATAGTCCATAATTAAGAAGATGGAAAACAATACCATTTTTTTTCAATTCAGAATTTATTATTGAAACAGTATTCACGATTCAAATCTTGTGTTGATATTCAAGATTCACTAATGTACACTTGTGTACACTTATGGACACTTATGGACACTTATGGGCCGTGCATGTGTCCCACCCTTCACCATCGGCAGTGTAGCACCACAACGTCCCCATTGGAGGGTTGGAGCCTGAAGATGGATCACGGCAGTAGTTCTGAGGATAGCCGAGGTTTGCTGCACCGTTGGTGATGTCGAAGTTCTGGCTGAGAAAACCGTGATTGTTCGGGGTCTTGGCGGACCAGGACTGACATGTTTTTCCGCTACTGGTTTCAGATTGTGTACCACTGTAGACTGCTGTTCCCCCTTGCTTGGTGTAACAGTCAGCTGTGAAGAAAATGTCAATATCAACAATGAACACATATACACAAATAATGCTCATGCTTTTTGACGCGGTTTTCTCATCGAACGAAAGAGGGTGATTGAATTCGTTTTAACGGTTGAACATCTTAGCTAAATCACAGCGTGTCGGCTTAATGTGAGGTGAGAGGCAAAATTTATGCAGGTCTCAGACATTTGCAACTTTGGTAAAACTAGGATCATAATTAGGTTGAATATTGAATTCGTACCACGATCATAGGATCCATGCACGCCTAACGGGCGCAACTCTACGCTTCGAGGTGTGGCGCCTTCGACGACTAATGGCGCCCGTTAAATTTAATCATGATATAAACATGGCATTCGGCATGTAAATTGGACTATTCCACTTCTTAATGCACTGTCTTGGTTGCAATATATTTAAGATAAATATTTAATTTCGAGGAGCTTTCTTTAAATTCTTCCAAAATAACGATTTCACGCTATTCATTGTTGTTCGGCGTCAGGCACCAAGGAAACACTTACTTTTTAATGCAAATTGTATGAGTGTCGGGCGCTACCTGTGGGGCAGGGCATGCTTCCCTTTAAGCGAACACCTGAGTTATCACTGGGTTTCAGTGAACCATTCGTATATATGTCACCCTTATTTTGCCTTTTCCGTCCAATGGAATCTGTTTCGGCGGATAACCGAGACTAACTAGACCCAGCATTGACGTTATATATTTACACAAGAGGTGATGGCTATTCGTCACCCACAATGAGAATGTATTCAGTTACGTCGTTTCCATGCTGTTTTCCAGCTATATCACGGCGGGGGATACCAGAAATGTCACCTAGGATTTATGTCACCTAGGATTTATGTCACCTAGGATTTATGTCACCTAGGATTTAAGATGATGTTTTCTCACTGCAACGGTTTTAAAACTACGTCTGTGATAAACTAGTTATTTTACTGTCCTTCGTCGACAGGTTTTATTTTCTGTTTTGTGTATCATTAATATATAACTTGATTTAGTCACGATATGGCTGAAATATTGCCGATGTGATTATAAACGTTAACTCACTCACTCACTCACTCACTCTCACTGCAACGTATGTAATAAGATAGAAAATATACACAGTTTTATATTTACAATATTGTTGCCATTACCACATGTTAGGTTGCCTTCTGCCAATGTTTCAGGTCTCTGGGCTCTCTGTTTTTAGAAATTTAGATTTGTACAATTTCTTATTTTCATTAAAATACCTCAAATTAACTGAACCAGATAATTTTGAGATTGAAAGAAGGGAAATGAGACTAGAAGTGATGGAAGTACCACTTCATCTATTACAATTTAACATAAAAATAGAAGCACATGACGAGGCAGACAGTCAAAGTCCTCATTTACGTGTGTGAATGCAACCATGAGTGACTGAGTTGGGTTTAACGCTGCTTTTAACAGTATTCCATTTATATCTGCCCTAACAGTAAACAGGCTCCCGCTTTACAAGATCGCGGATGCACATTTTTTGCGCGTTAACTGTTCATCTGCGTTTACGTTAGTTACATGCGTGTTACTGTTTTAATGTATTATGATTGTCCTATCTATACTCAGCAACAAAAGTTCCGGTTGCATACAAAAATACACTTTCTGGTGTTCAAATCGGATACGAAACTATGAAAACGTGTAGCACAAACGCAACCTCAGCAGAAAAGCACGATCTGATGGCAAAAAGTGTCTTTCATGCAGCAATTTTGCAATTGATGATGTAAACCTGGGTATGAAAGCGCGCGTGTTGTAGGCATTCGGCATGCACTGTTTCTGCTTGTCTTGACAACTGCAACACGGAAAAACATCACATTTCAATCATTATTTGGAGTTTGGAGATGCCTCGCCTATCTGAAAATGACCGCTTGCGAGCAATTGGTATGCTCCACTCAGGAACGTCGCCTGATCGCTCTCCAGATCTTTTTTTTCCAATTGAACACATGTGGGATGAAATGGACCGACGTCGTCGACGTTTACCACGTGCTCCGACTACAGTATAGGAACTGGGAGGCAGGCTGGTGGAGATATGGGATGCCATACTACAATACTGTAAGACATTTGATCCGTTTAATGCGCAGGAGATGCATTGCATGCATCCGAGTGAGAAGGGGGGACACACACGCTACTGTGTCAATGGATAATTCTGTTCTTGCATCTCTTATCATAACGTCATTTCTGTGCTAGACATGTGTCATTAATTGTGTAAACTTGTTTTATTGGTCCATTGTCTGTTTGAAAATATGAATTCGTTCTGATGTGTGCGTCTTCTTTGATCCAGTTTCAGATGTGTGCGTATACTTTGATCCGGTTCTTGTTTAATATCGTGTCACGGTTTTTTTCTTGCTGAGTATAGTTAGTAACTGTACTGATTTTCAGGCGTGGGGATCCGGGGGCGACGAGATTTGGGTTTCAGGTGCCCATTTATTATTTGTTTAAGTCTTGGATGCAACAGAGACAGGGATAACCTTCAGTGCTAATGTGAAATTCGAAAAGCTTTTCGTAAATATACTTACGGGAAGAAGATACCAATTAAACATTTTGCAATGATACAGGTGAATCAATTCAATGGCTTTAGAGTCAAAGAAGCCACCTATAAGATTTTAAAGAAAAGTTTTCTAAACATGTTTAACAAACAAGCACTGTTATTGTACGTGAAATGAATTTATGTAGCTGCTGTCACCCACACGACGGAGCATAATTTGACAAAATTAGAACTGAATTTGTAAACTTGTAGTCCATAGAATTCAGAACATTACTTACTATTGCACGCCGCAAGTGTGGACAGAACTGCCAAGGTCGCGAGGAGCAGGAGACGAGCCATGTTGCTGTGCAGCTGAGACCGACTGGTTGTTGCAACGGAGAAGGTACTACACACGTCGTGGTAGACAGTCAAATGTTGACGTGGATGGCGCGATTGCAATTTTAAATGAAATCCATATTGACCTTTCTGCCATGCGTGACAGATGTGAGGCCAACGTAATTGTCAAATTCTCCTGAAAGAGTCTTTGTTAGAGTAAATAGGGATTAGACGTAATCCATTTAGAATATTCTCCGTGCATCTTTAGACAATGGGGCAGCTGTGACGAGATGTTTGAGTGATTGGAATAAAATTACGTATGAACTGCAGAGCTACAGATAAGCAGCGTATTTGCGTAAAATACCCCCCCCCCATAAAAATAATAATAATCAAAACCCAATTACTCTCAATTAACTTGCGTGCAGAAACGCATGCATTAAATGAAAAACTCAAATATATAACAGCACGTGTAAATACTCATTGAGGGTTTGTTCAGCACGAAACACAATCAAGCCTATATATTTAGAACAGTTATATACATCTAAAAACATTATTTCATTTTTTTAAATCTTAAAATGTTCACCAAATTTAGGAAAAACCCAATAGAGTGATGAATAGATGAGTGAAAAAAATATTGGTTTACCAATGAAAAATATAATAACCCAATTAAAATAGAAACCTTAGAGTAAAAACTCAATTGCTCTAAAAGTTATCTGGAGCTTGGATGAACGCAATAGATAACCAGAGAATGATTGGCATTGTTGTCAACACATTATATATTAACATTCCCCGTTTGAAATATATTTTGTGGATAGTAATATTTTGTTAATGAACACAACAGTCAGCACGATAGTGTCTGCTGCTGATATTATTCCTATTCCGTCTTGAAATAGGACCAAGTTAATTTGGGTTGAATTGGTTCATTTAGTAAACGTTGTATGAGACAAACTAGTATTGGTTGCATTGATACATACAGATCTGTGGCACTTGTTAATCCAACGGACTCACACACTCTACACCTTGTCCTTCTTCTTACCAGGCAGCGCTGGAGGTCCAGGAGCCGTATCGTGTCGGGTTCATGTCAGTTTGTACACATTTGAGACTCGTTCCACACGTGATTTAATTTGGGAAAAATAATATATACAATATCAATTAATATTCCCGTAATATTAATTGGCCTAAAATAATGTGTGGAACACATAGTCTAGAGTCTATACACAGTTTTATGAAATAATTAATTTCAGATGAGAAGGTAGACACAATTTTATGGATAACAACTTCTTTTATACTGTAAAAAGCGACGTTTCAGTGTAGATCCTTAAAAAACAGTTGTCAAGTATACTGTTTGACAGTCTTGCTTAACAACGGCATAATGATCTATACCGAAACGTCGCTTTTTACAGTATTAAAGAAGTTGTTATCCATAAAATTGTGTCTACCTTGTCATCCGTCAACTTCAAAGTAATGCTTATCAAACAAAATTTCAGATTACTTTTGAAACAATGTCAGATTGTAACATATTTTCAAATATCGAAAGGCCAATGTTGAAGCATTGTCGATACAATGTATTTTAACGAATCAACCCCAGATCAACCAAATGCCAACACTGAAACACATTGTTCTTTCTTCACGTATGTTCTTTTGTAAATAATGACATTTATTTGTAACATTCATTCTTTAATCGTAGACCCGTGAAGATTCCGGGGTAGAATTTGTCCCCAGCAACCAATGCTCGATGACTTCGTTGATGGCGTGTCACTATCGAGACTTTGTTTTCTAATTTTTCACTGCATTTAATTGTGTATGACTACGTTAGATCAGTTTTTTGTTTGTTGTTAACGCCGCACTCAGCAATATTCCAGCTATATGATGGCGGTCTGTAAATAATCGAGTCTGGACCAGACAATCCAGTGATTGACATCACGAGCATCGATCCACGCAATTGGGATACAATGACATGCATCAACCAAGTCAGCGAGCCTGACCACCCGATCCTGTTAGTTGCCTATAACGACAAGCATAGTCGCCTTTTACGGCAAGCATGAGTTGCTGAAGACCTATTCTAGCCCGGATCTTTTGAAAGTTTTACTGAGGCCTTGACTGTTGTAACCATGATAAAACAAACAACACAGGAACCCGCCCCTCTTTTACAGCGTGACAGCTTGATGCTAGGGGAACTTCCACAAGTGGCATGGACTGGGAAAACATTATTTTAGTTTTAGGTTTTTACCAAAAACACTCCACGAAATGAAACATTTGCTGAGAAATAAATTATCCGTTTTTTCCCAGTAAATGGTATGTACCTTATAAAGATAGAAAAACAATATTTTCAATGTATATTTATTATTGAAACACGAATCACGATATTCTTTTGATGATCAAAATTCACGATCTAAATCTTGTTTGAATATTCAAGATTTTACACTTGTGGACACTTTCGAACACTGCAAGGCCCCCATCCTGGCGCATCGGCAGTGTAGCACCACAGATACCCGGATGGCTGGAGGGCGCCTCCAGAAGGGTCCCGACAGTAGTTGGCGGCGCCTTGGTAGCCGAGGTCTGGTGCACCGTTGGTGATGTCGAAGCTCGCGCCGTCATAGCCATGATTGTTCGGGGAATTGCTTGACCAGGACTGACATGTTTTTCCGCTAGTGGTTTCAGATTTTGTACCACTGTAGACTGCTGTTCCATCCTGCTTGGTGTAACAGTCAGCTGTGAAGAAAATGTCAGGAACAATATTAAACACATAAATAATATGCATACTTTAATTTCTTGACACGTTTGTCTCATCGGACGAAAGACGGTGCTAGTTTGGTTCAATGTTTGTCTATTTTCATTTGTTTGTGTTTGTTTGTTGTTTAACGCCGGACTGTGCTACCCAACCGTACTTCCAGGACGAGATTACACACACGCGCATGGCTGTTTTGTTTGTTTGTTTGTTGTCTAACGCCGCACTCAGCAATCTTCTAGCTATATGACGGCGGTCTGTAAATAATCGAGTCCAGACCAGACAATCCAGTGATTGACATCATAAGCATCAATCCACGCAATTTCATAGGGCGAATGGGCAAAATAGTGATGACATATATATGAATGAATCACTTAGGATCAGTGGTGACACCAGGTGTTCACAAAAGTCAAAGCATGTCAGTGTCAACAGTGAGAGTTGGTTTGTTGTCTGACACCGCACTTAGCAATACTCCTGCAATACGACGGCGGTCTGTAAACAATCGATCCTGACCAGACAATCCAGTGATCAGTATCATGAGCCATGGTCCAAGCCTGTTCCCCCGACCCATTACAGTAGTGTCAGTTGGTAATGAGGTGTGAAGACATGTTAAGGTCATAATATTGGATAGCATCGGGCACCATATTGACATGCGACGTATTTGGCAAATTCCTCTGCTTGTCTTCCATATAATGTCTGGTATGATTTCCAACATTTGATGGTGAATAAAGGCCATAAAAACATGAGCATGGTATCATAAGCATCGGTCCACGCAATTGAGATACGATGACATGCCAAGTCAACCAATTTTAAGTCACCCGATACCGCACGACCCCGTTAGTCGCCTCTCACGACAAGCATAGTCGCCTCTAACGACAAGCACAGTCGCCTCTCACGACAAGCATAGTCGCCTCTAACGACAAGCACAGTCGCCTCTGACGACAAGCACAGTCGCCTCTCGCGACAAGCACAGTCGCCTCTCACGACAAGCACAGTCGCCTCTCGCGACAAGCACATTCGCCTCTCGCGACAAGCACAGTCGCCTCTCGCGACAAGCACAGTCGCCTCTCACGACAAGCATTCACGGATCTTCACGGGTTTTCGTTTGTGTCAGGTTAAGGGAACAACAAATTGATTTTGGATAGGGGATTGGGTGTGGTGGTTGTGGTTGGTTTGAGATTAGCATTTTCTTCTTAATGCTTGGGAGGTCAATTATTTTTATCCAAGAAATAGGTGCTCAATTAATATTTAAATAAATAATAACAGCGAGTTGTATTCTGTGGACAGCTGAATATACGCTTTTATACAGGATCGTCTGTGACCGGGGGTAAAACCCTCCCACATTTCGGCCTCCATGTGCAGCGCCATCTTTTTTAAGTTGGTTGGTCAAATACATTATCTGTCTGTCGAAGTTGTGACAGACAGACAGATAATGTATTTGAGTCTCACCTCGTTATTATATAATACATAATGAATACACTCCTTAAAAATATATTAGTATAAAAGCATATAGAGTAACGAGCCACTCCCGAGAGACTATTTAACATGGGTTTGTTTGTTTGTTTGTTTGTTGTTTAACGCCGCACTCAGCGATATTCCAGCTATATGAAGGCGGTCTGTAAAATAATCGAGTCTAGGCCAGACAATCCAGTGATTGACATCATGAGCATCGATCCACGCAACTGGGATCGATGACATGTATCAACCACGTCAGCGAGCCTAACCACCCGATCCCGTTAGTCGCCTTTTACGACAAGCATAGTCGCCTTTTACGGCAAGTATGGGTTGCTGAAGACCTATCCTACCCCGGAATCTTCACGGGTCCTTTAACATTGGTAAAAACATGTATACATTTTCACATATGTTACACCTGATAGTATTGATTGAACCAGGCTATTCACAAAAGACAATAATCTATAGTACGACGTGGTGTAGAACATCCGATCTGGTTGTTAAAATATTATTGCAGGTCTTGACAGTTGTAAAAATCAATTCTGGGCGGGACAGTATAAAACCTACTTTCTGTAAATCACTAAGACTATCAAAATCAGAACAAATGTAAAGATCTTCATAGTGTGGACAATATAATGTAACATGCCTTTTATCTTCTATTTTATCCGTAAAAAACGGGCTGATTCTCTCTGCAAGAGGTGTATTGGGGTAGCGTCCGGTCTCAACTTTCAGCGGTGCTGCACTACATCTAAACCTTGACAGGGCGCTTCGTAGTTCTAGGGATGCTTTTGTGTACATATTCTTCAATACCGTAATTATCCTTCGAGTCGACCCCTGAAGATCTATGGTTAAATTCAGCAACCCATGCTTGCTGTAAAAGGCGACTATGCATGTACTCAGCAATATTCCAGCTATATGAAGGCTGTCTGTAAAAATCGAATCTGAACCAGACAATCCAGTTATTAATATCATGAGCATCGATCCACGCAATTGGGATCGAGGACGTGTATCAACCAAGTCAGCGAGCCTGACCACCCGATCCCGTTAGTCGCCTTGGTTAGTACGGCAAGCATGGGTTGCTGAAGACCTATTCTACCCCGGATCTTCACGTCTCTCCAGTGCGAGGCAAATGTAAATAAACATCAGCAAAACATAGGCTTGATTATTTATAAAGAAGAAATCCCGGATAACCCACCCAACCGCCATCACCCTCCATTTGAAAATCAATCAAACGGCTGTTACCTGAAGTGGGAGAAGGGTCCAAAATGAACTTCAAACGACAGCGCATGATTGGACGACTTTTGTTCTCAGGTTTCAGACCGCCTCCGTGGTCTAGTGGTAGAGCGGAAGGTCAGGGGTTCAGTCCCCGGCCGCGTCATACCAAAAGCCGTTTAAAGATGGTACTTTTTTGTTACCCGGCCTGGCGATCGGCATTAAGGGGCTTAAACAAGGACTGGTCGGCTCGAAGTCAGTATACTGTGTCTGAGTGGGGTATTCATTTTTAACTGCGGCATGGTATCTCAGTGGGCAAGCACTTTTAACGGCATCAGTCCGGACTAGTACAAGCACACACACACGTGCAGGCACGTCGCTATAAAATTGCAATAATCTTGAACGCGACGTTAAACCCCATTTCACTTCACCTCACCTCTCAGGTTTCAAAAAACGAATTAAAACGAATGGTTCACTGGACATGTTGGTTGTTCTGAAAATTAATGTCATGTCTCACAAACTGTTTCCCTCATGCTTCAAGCGAAAAGGATTTGTAAGTCCATGCAATTATTAAATAGAACATTACTTACTATTGCACGATGCCAGTGTGGACAGAACTGCCAAGGTCGCGAGGAGCAGGAGACGAGCCATGTTGGATGCTGTGCAGCGGAGACCGACTGGTTGTTGCAACGGAGTAGGTACTACACACGTCGTGGTAGACAGTCAAATGTTGACGTGGATGGCGCGATTCCCATTTTAAATGATGTACCAACCAATTAACCTCGCTGACAAGTGCGACAGATGCTCATAATGTTTTTGTCCGAGTTAATCTGATCAGTTGCATGCTATCACATGTATACATCTCCACACATGGATCAAAATTGCATCCAGATATTAGAGAATGGGGACTGGCTGTACATGGTATAAGTCGGTTGTGTTGGGAATGGAATTTCAAATGAACCCCAGAGAGTGATTGGCAATGCGCTCGTTGGCTAACTTTTGGAATCAGATAGAACAGAACCGCGTGGTATTTTATGAACCGATTGGTACCAACTACAGACATGAGTGTGTAATCATATACTGGAAGTACGGTTGGCTAGCATAGTGGTTAAAGCGATCGCTCGTCACAATAAATATTCCGGTTCGATTCCCAATATGATATGGCTTGAATAATGTAAATCCCAACTCACTAATCCCCCAGGTGACCGCCTACGTGGCCTAGTGGATAGAGCGTCTGCGTGGAAGAGCGGAAAGTCAATGGTTCGATTCCCGGCCGCGTCATACCCAAATACGTTAAAAGATGGTACTTGTTGTTACACTGCCTGCGCTCGGAATGCTTGCCGTAAAAGGCGACTGTGCTTGTCGTAAGAGGCGACTAACGGTATCGGGTGGTCAGGCTCGCTGACTTGGTTGATACATGTCATCAATCCCAATTGCGTGGATGATATTAATCACTGGATTGACTGGTACAGACTCGATTATTTACCTACCCCCATTATATAGCCGGAATAAACAACAAAACAACCAACCAACTCGGCGCTCGGCATTAAGGGGATTGAACAAGGACTGGTCAGTTCGGAGTGTATTGTGTCTCAGTGGGGTATGCGTGTTAAACTGTTAAACACCGGTATTAGTCCGGACTAGTAATATGAGAATATTGCTTAAAGCGGCGTAAATCAATACTCACTCACTCACACATACACACACACACACAGGCACGCACGCACGCACACACACACACGCAAACGCTGACCTTGATAGCGACATTAACCCCATTCGCCTCGCCTCACTCATACACAAGGCAGTGTCAGCAGGTCGTGATTACGCAAATCCATGGATTCAAATACATAGGGGCTGGTGAGTTGGTGAGTTGGTGGGAATGACTAGCCTGACAGTAACGGGACATGACAGCTGCCGAACAGTATCAACTAACAATCGTACTGGATCTATTAATAAGCAGCTGTACCGGTCATTGGAAGGTTTATCGCCAGCTAACGTCCATCATACCAACATGGATTCTGACAATGCATTGTTCAAATTGTCGTTATGTAGATAATATAGATTCAACATATGTATAATTGGCTCGTGGTAAGTCTTTGATTGGTTTCATGGAAATTGTGTGGATTTGGTACTGACAAGTTGGCGCATAGGCACACCTGGCCCTGAAAAGTGGTTTCTATCTGCAGGCATTATACACAAAGAAGTGAAAGTTTTGGACCTGACGACGGGCTTGTTTTGTTTCGTCTTAGGCGCCGCGATTCGCTGTGCAGAGTTGCGTCTCTTGGGCACACCAGAAACCTATGATTGTGGGTTCGAATCACGGTTCGCCCCGATTATGTTTCTAGGTTTGTCAGCACCATACCCATGCTCGTGGGTTTCAGCGAAGTGGTAAACGTCTGAGACCTGCATCACTTCGGGCTTTCCTCCCACTTTTCGCTGACACGCCGTGATATAACTGGAATACTGTTTAGATCGCCGTTAAACCTCAAATGAGAGAGGTGAGGAAAATAAAATGTACAAGAAATTGTGAAACAAATTATATCATCAACTACATGTCATAATATGATAATGGTTAAATGTGAAGTTTCAACTGTATACATGTTTTTCATTGGACGAGACGTCGGTCACATGACCGCCACAGGTTCAACATCTTTGGAAATCTCGTCACGTTTATCGTGTCGGCCATTTTGACGTCTTGTATTTGATGTAAAAAATGTATTAAAATGCGCTGTCAAAGTGACTGACTCACGGAGGTAGTTCTTTGACACCTCTTTTTATCTAATGATATTTAAATTATCTATTTGCTGTAACCCAACTACAAAAGATGTTCCTGTTGAGCAAGTTGAGCATACGCTCAGTTCGTTGTTTTATGGTTGCCACACGCTCAAAATGAAATTGTGTTATACATCCCTCGAGGTATGAAATAGTTATATCAAAACAAACATTGCTACAGATCCGACGTTCATACAGTTTGATTTCATACTCCAATGAACTCACACAAAGTGAATGTCAATTCTTAATGCTCAAAATAACAGAGATGGAAATGAGAGACATCCATTTTTATATTTGTGATATCACACACACACACACACACACACACACACACACACACACACACACACACACACACACATACAGGCATGCACGTCGCTATATAAGTGCAATAATCTTGGACGCGTCGTAAAATGATGTACAGATATTGCTTATAGCAAGATGGTTAAAAAAAACACCATTCCACTGCAGACAACATAATTCATTTTACAATCATTAGTAGAGAAACACATAACCCGTCAAAAAGGCACATTTTACTGCGCTTTCGTAGACTTTAAGAAAGCATATGATATGGTGAATAGAAATAAATTGTTGTTACAGTAGCTTATCCCGGAGAACGGGGCTCCGCGTGGGTCGTATCTCAAGCTACCAACATTTGCATGGTTTGTCAGATCTAAAATCGATTACTAAATGTACATATTTACAGTACGTAATATTGATTGGGCGTATCTAATCCCACACGGTCACTCACATGTACGCATGCGTGAAGTGTCACGCCCAACCAATCGATTTGTTTATTGGAAAATATAGCATTGTCTTGGATCCACCCCCTTCCTTGTGTACACTAATGGCTTTCCAATGAATTAAATGTTCTCGTGTAATGTTCAATAGGGTTATAAACATAGATTTTATAAACAAAACCTTATAAATTTCCTGACAATTGATTCAGTCAGTTGTACGGTATGTAATTAAATTTGGAGCTGACAGTCAATTGGCAGTATGAAATTGTTGATATATATTGTCTCCAGTATCATAAATAACGAAGCTGGACCGTATAATCGATTTTGAAGTCACAGGTGGCTGTGTAAAGACATTTGGGCTGCGTTTTATCAGTGACTAACAGTCATGGACCAACGGCAGAATTTGCTGCAGTAAACAGTCGGAAACAGATGCTTCGATGATCGTCAGAAACACGATGTTACGTTTGTGTGGTTAATCCAAAGTACGAAGTAATAGGCAGTTTTAATGCAAGCTTGAAAAACAATAATTCGTTTTTGAATAATCTTCCCTCGACAATCTGACGTATAATAGACTTGCGTAACACATCATTTGACATCTGTCCAAGTATTGCGACGCACGAGGGTACGGTTGATAATTACACACATATTCTCACAATTGGGGAAATCGTCACCACGTGATCAGCTGAAAGAACGCTGTATGAAAACCAATTAACAGTTTCCAATTTCAACACAAAACGCATTCGACGACAATATAAACAAACAAGGTCAACAATTTTATACAAGTTTTAACAGCACACATTTGGTGTACCTGTAAATAGAAAAAGAAACGCAACTAGTTATACATTTGAAGGGGATATTGTCATAATGATATTTTTTAACAGAAACTAGATAACACCTCGTCTTCATGGCTACCAAAGCAATCGTACTGTGTCCAATAAAGAGGTACTTAATTTGAGGAACATGTTCCTGTGGCGAGGGACACGTTGACTCATTGTACCACTGTGTAAATCCAGTGTTCGAAATACCTGCCTGCCCGACCGTCCGAGACGGGTTGATTTCAACTCGGGCTGACAGATTTTCAAATCCCCCTGCCCGACGGTCGGGTTATATTTCATATGTGAAAATATTCTAAATATTTCCCGATGATAATCATTAATTCACATTTAAAGATGAATGATAAAAGGTAACCGAAAAGGAACTCTGTTAGCTTTTCCTGAGAAACATATGATTATAGTGGGCAGGCAGGTTTTGGTCAGGGCTGGCAAGTATTTCAGCTAGCCAGTCCTGTGGTCTGGCTGAAATTTTTGGGAGTTTCATACCCTGGTAAATCCAACTTGAAAATATTTATTGTTTAACGCCGCACTCAGCAATATTCCAGCTGTATGACGGCGGCCTGTACATAATAAAGTCTGGGCCAGACAATCCAGTGATTGATATCAAATTGGGATATGATGGCATGCTTCAGCCTGACCACCCGATCCCGTTAGTCGCCTATTACGACAAGCATAGTCGTATTTTACGCCAAGCATGGGTTGCTGAAGATCTATTCTACCCCGGGTCTTCACGGGTCCCTGAAATGTATATACATGATGCAGTTGGTGTACAACGTATCGACCAGTTTGCCAATATCTGTGCCTCTAATCTTTGCCTACGCTACACCTTCAACTCCAGATATGGCGAAGAGCACTCACTCTCTTTGAGATGTGAAAAACCTTCAAATGAGATCGTATCAGGTGAACCCAGGGCAAAGTGTGACCAACCATACCAACAGAAGGGTCACTGGGTGTCACCTCTCTAAAACTACCAGCTTCAATTCTTCTCAACATCAGAAAACAATCAGTCTCGATTCTTTGCCGAAACAGATTCCAGATGGCGTAAACGGCAAAATGGTGATATCAATTATGTGAATGAATCACTGAAAATCAGTTATGACACCAGGTGTTCGCGAAAAGGGTGCGTCTGTCCTATTCTATCGGTAGCACTCACACAGTTATCTTAAAAAAAACATAAGTTTGTTGCCTAATACTCCTACCATACGACGGCGGGCTGTTAACAATCGAGTCTGGACCAGACAATCTGGTGATCATAATCACACGACGTCATCATGATCCACGTTGTCGGGATACGATGCCACGCCGTCAACCAAGTCACCAAGCCTGATCCTCCGACCTATTACAGTGACACACACACACACATACACACAACACCACACACACATACACACCACATACACACA